TGTCCTGCAAAAATTATACTAACAAAAAGTTGAGGAAAACCTGTGTTTAACCTGAACCCATAAATTCTGCCTGCTGCAAAAAGGTGGGGGTTGGCCCATATGTGAGAGTGCTCTGGTCTCTGAAGTCCCAGGACACACTAGCATAACTCCCTGTGAGAAATCCTGGGAGAAGTGTGTTGGCCTTGGTCAAACCCATCCATCCCACACCGATTTTCTCTTTAGCCTACTCTGTGTAAGCCATTATCCCCCTGGGATGCTTCAGGACACTTGCCATGATTCTTTGAAAATCAGTCATTAAATTGTTTGTGTGCAAATGAATTTTCACGGTCAGTGTGATGGGGGTGATGATCCCAAGGATGACTTCTCTGTATCTTTCTGAAGATGGACCACAGCTCCCACTGCTCTTTAGCGCCTTGTACCAGAATTATCTGGAGGAACCGAATTCATAGAAAATATAGGTATAAGCTATTAGGGATTTACATAGAGGATTGGAGGTGCATGCTGGAAAGCCATAGATCCGGCAGCTGCCCGGTCAAGAAGACGGAAGAACAAGAGCAGCACCAGTGCAAGGTCAAAGGCCTGGACGCTCACTGGGGGTCACAAGACTTCACTGAAAGGTTGAAGAAACCAGGACTTGGAGACTAGCGTCAAAGGGCGGTGGCCGCAAAGGACAGACCCACTCAGAGGAGCTCTTTGAAACAAGGCTGCTTCCACTTTTCCTTTTTACTCCACCCAGGTCACAAGCCTTTTGGTTTCTGGCAGCACAACCTGACTGGGTCTTCCCTGCTCGGGTTGCTGATGTACAGTGTGAATCATCCACAAACACGCCCAGAACCATGCATTATTAATCTGATAAGCAGTTTTTAATCCACTCAAATCGACACACCATGATTAACGGTCACGAGCTCATTTCTCAAGAAACGCTTACTCTTTGCTTGAAAAATGAACACATAAAAACCTTTATCTCAACTACTTGTAAGATCTTCCAGATCCAAGTCTTTCAAGATGTTCCTCTGAGAAAGGTTCCAGCCTGGTGTAGCTGTAGGAGTATCTGCTGATCCCTGGAGTTCATCACAAGCTGTTCTCAGGTCCCTGAACTATGTGAAGCTGACTGAGACAGTCTGCGACCTCCCATGTCTCCCTTTCCACCCTTCAGCCAGGATCACCACAGTGTTGCAGGCTGTACTGGACTCCAAGGCCTGACTCTTTAAGAATGTTCTTTTCAGATAGTGAATACTTATCTGTAAATGCAGAGTTAGATTATAAAAAGTCTGGCTGAAACTGCTAAGAGATAAAGCATTTTGGACTCATGCAACACAGTGGAAAATTTGATCCAGATAACTGTTAACCAAAAGCTGCATTCATAGTTGTTTTTTTTTTTCTTGTTTGTTTTGTTTGTTTTAATGTTCTCTTTTGAACCAGCCTAAAAACCAAAGTGTGAGGAGGCTAAATGGCTTGTTGAATGTGCCCAGCCCACTGGAAAGAGTGGGTGTGGTCACTAGGAAAACACATGCACACTGCAAAGGAAGTCAGGCTGGGAGTGGCTCATCTGTCACCTGCCCTTTGGTTCAGGCCGATTTTGGTAGAAGGCTGCTGCTGCACCTGCATCCCACCTTCATCCTGGGATGCTGACAGGAGCTGGTGTCACTTAGCCTGTCATTCTTATTTCCAGCAACCCTCTCCATCCACCCCTCGTCCCCCTTGGCCACTCACACATTTCTATGACTTCTGGACAGCAGCTCTGGCCCTCCAGGTTGCTGCTGTGATTGCCAGTCTGGCCCTGGCCCTCAGCAGCACTGATCCCGGGCCTCAGCCCTCTCCTACGCTCATTGCCTTCCTGTATTCGCATTGGAGTTGTGATCCATCATTTCAAGCAGTCTCTCGCCAGTCCTCACTTTCCAACTTGTTGGACCTCAAACCATTTGAGGAAATACTTGACACAGCACCTAGACTCATCTGCACACATATTTACACACACACACACACACACACACGCATTGGCTTCTTTCAACTTTAATTCAACCACAGTTATTTAAAAATTTCTTCCTGAACATCAGATCTTAAAACTATAGCCCTATAGCCTCCCTTCTTTTATCTTCCCCAGGTTGTTGTAATAGTCATTTATATTAACTATATTCGTTCCTTCGCTTCTGTAGCTAGTATCACATACTTAGTGACTTAAAACAGCACGAATTCAGTCATATGGGTCTGGAAGTCAAAGTCTAAGATGAAGGCGTTGACTAGACCGTCTGCTTGTTTTCACCATTTCTAGAGGCTGTCGATGCACTCAGATGCAGGGCTGTATCAATCCAGCCCTAGTGCCATTGTGACATCTTTTTTGATTTTGACCCTCATACTTGTCTCCTTTTAAGAGCTTGTGATTACATTGTGTACTTCCAGATAATCAAGGTAAACCCTCTATAAAGACCCTCGTCTTAGCCACATCTGCCATGCACAGTGGTACAATGTAAGGTGAGATCATTGTAAGCCCTGGAGTTAGGCCTGAGGACATCTTTAGGGAACATTTTTCTATCTATTATGTGAACCATTTTTATTTTCCCAACTTCCACTCACTTTTCAAGTTCTTCTAAACAGGTTTATGTTCCTACCTGTTATCCAAAAATGATCTTCCAAGGGCTCCATGTTGCTTAAACCAATGGGAAGTTGTAGTTGTCCTTCCTGACCTTCTGGGCTCTTGCTGGTAGAGTAACCCTCGCAAAACAATAATACAACGTGGGGTGGGGGTGGGAGGCTTAGGCTGCCATGCTGCCACACTATGCTCCGTGTTTTGATGTAAATAGTCCCAAGAGATCCAGTTCTGTTGAGTGGCGTTGGACCATGTGACAAATCCCATAAAGAAAGGTAATGGCCCAACACAGCCAAGGATTCTTTCTTACTCATATTGTGGTCTATGGAGCAGGTAGGAATCTGGGGCCAAGGGCCCTTCTGTCTTGAGGCTCTGCCACCCCAAGAGCCTTGCTATTTCCTTTGTCTAGCTAGAGTAATGTACATGGTCTTGAGGACAAACTGGGAACTATAACCCCATCGTGTCTGAGAATTACTTTGACATTGTAGTCAGCTGGCCCTTCAGCAGGGAGCTGGGAATGGTGGGGTGAGAGACAGAAAGTTCTAACAAGGAACCTGAAGAGAACCAAGGAGGGTTACCCACTAGGGGCACTTCAGGGTGGATGCTGGCCTAGAGGTAGTGCTAGTGTGGCCCTGGGAGCAGAGTGAAGGAGGCTGGAAAGGTCGGTGCTCAGCACTTTAGCAGAGCCCACCTGGGTTCCCCACAGGAATACCTCGTGGCCCAGGACCTCCGAGATTGCAGCCTGGCAAGGTGCGCTGTGAGGCTGCTGGTGCTGTTCTGGAAAGCAGGAACTCATATTGGTTTTTGCTGTTCCTGTCAGCTTTGCTTCTCTAAATGAGCTTAACTTTGGTGCCCTTCCTCCAGGAGTTTTCAAGAGTGGAAACAGGAGTTCAGAAATGGAACTCAGGCCTGGGCTGAGCCTACCTGCAGCTGTTCGCAGCCTTCCTTCATCAGAACATTCTGGGCGGGTAAATGGGACCACCTCAGGCCAGAATGCCCTGGTTCCTTAGACTGTAGGTTTCCTGGAAGCCCAGAGATCTGGGCTGGGTGACTCTTGCCAGGAATTATGTCTCTGAGAGGATTTTGAAACTGAGCAGGAGTAAAGGAAGCACGGGTCATTGGTGTGGGAATCGGTGTTCTGAGATGACCCTTCCTCTCCCTAGCTGTTCTCTCTCTCGGAGCCCCATAGCTGCCAACCCTGTCTCCCACACACCTCACCAAGAAAAGTCCCTGGCTATGCTCCCAGAAGGCTTGCTGTTGACCTTTTGAGGTGTGAGAGGGAGGCAGGAATCTACATTTTGGATGAACCTTCCTTCCTCCTTTCTGAGGAATGCTCCCAACTCCAATGCCTGTGAGCCTTTTCTCAGAGCTCCTCAGAGCACAGGCACATCATGGCTTCCTCAGCCTGCCTCAGGGAGAATCTGAGGAAGCTGGGATTGGGAGCCTGGCTTAGTTTCTTCTGCGACTGCTGCAAAAAATTTCTAGAACTTAGGTGGCTGGACACATCAAAAATTCATTCTCTCCCAGTTCTGGAGGCCCAAAGTCAGAAATAGAGGTCAGCAGGGCCTTGTTCTTTCTGAAGGCTCTGAGGAGGATCCGTCTTTGCCTCTTCCAGCATTTGATGGTGGCCAGAAATCCTTGGCTTCCTTTGGATTGTAGATGCATCCCTCCAGGCTTCACAGGGCTGTCTTCCTTCTGAGTCTCCTGCTGTTCTTTAAGGACAGTACATAGTCAGATGGTCTTAGGGGACCCTTTTTATATTTGGCCTCATTTTAACTCTGCAGTGACCCTATTTCCAAATAAGGCCATTTTCTGAGGATCCTGGTGAACACACATCTGGGGAACCCTATTCAATCCACAGCAAAGCCCCATCATTCACTTTCCATTTCCCATCAAACCACATGTCTTCCCAGAGGCTCTGCACAGCCCAGAGAGCCCCACCTGGCTTTCTTATCCAGGGCCACGCAGGGTCAGAAGTGGTTTCCTGAGGCAGAAATGCACTTCTCCCTCCAGAAAGGCCTAGGTGATCAGGGAATGCAAGTCTCCTTTGTGACAGGCATCCACATGCCTGGGGACACCCACTCAGCTTATTTTCCTCTTTGGAAAGGAGCTTTCAGACTCTGTGGCTCCTGGAAAATCCCCTTGTGCTCCCTAAGGAGAAGGTGCCCTCCCAGCCTCACAACGGGCCATCCCAGCACAAGGCCTCTGGCCAGCTAAGGCAGCTGCTGCCCCTGCAGCCCCAGCTCCAGGCCTCACTTGGAGACCTCTTCACATCAGCTTCTGTGGAGGTTGCACCCCACATCTTCCAAACGCAGAAGCCCCTTCTCCGGGGCACTAATATCCCCCTGCTTCTAAAGCCAGGAAAGAGTGGTGGGTTCCTGGTCCTCTTGTAACCCAGCTGAATATTTTCCAGGTTACCTAACCAAACTCCTGCAAAACCACACCGCCTATGCCTGTGATGGGGACCATTTGAATCTCCAGTGCCCTCGGCATTCTACGATAAGTGTTCAATCAGCATTTTATGGGCAAGATTACCAAATGTGTACTTCCCAGCAGCCTGACTCCCAGAGGGAAGACAGCTTAAACTGTGTGGCACCCACCACCTTGCAGGTATTGCCTTGTGTAGCTGTGTTAAGATAATCAAATGGTTCTCTCTCTCTCTCTCTCTCTCTCTCTCTCTCTCTCTCTCTCTCTCTCTCTCTCTCTTCATATCTGTCTCCCTTCTCTTTCCCCCTTCCCAGTATATATTTGTGAAACAAATCTGTTCCATGAAAATCTCAATTACTCACAAAATCACTAGTTTTGCAACTGAGCTGTTATTTGCTTCTAAAACAATTCTTTGCCATACAACTAGAAGTAGAATTCCTACCTATTGGGGAGCACCCTTGAACAGCTGCAATATGAATTTACTTCCAGGGAAACTCCTTAGGATAGTGAAGCAGAGAGTAACCATCTTGGGTTTCAACCAATATGGGCTTAACCATGTTGGGCTTTAGAAAAGGCATTCTTCAGTGGAAACGAGTCATCTTTGTGAAGCAGACATATGAGGTCATAATCAACTTCTTAGACAATGAACTTCAGGAAGAAAAATATCAATGACTGTCTTTCGTTTTCTATCATTTGCTTCCCCACTTGTAGGTGACCATGCTGTTCTCACTTGAAGTTATTTTGAGCAGCCTCTGATGAAATCGTCCTTCTTGACAGAACTAGGAATTGTGGGAAGGGGATTTTGAGTCACTTGTGGTGCACATTTGGGAAAAGAACTGGTAGAGAAAAAGGTGAAACTAATATTTTAATAATGGTTTTTGAATATTCATGTGTTTCAAATGACCTAACCAATTATTTCACCATTCCTGGTCCCATAGCAATGAGCTCATGGGCCAAATTACTTGGTCTTAGATTTTTTTTTAATGCCTCCTAAACCCCAGATGAAAACCTTGAAGGCATGGTGTTTAGAGTAGATGTTAAGTGAGGAGTCATTTCCCACCATAGGGAATGTGGATAAAGATACATTTGCTAGGAGGACTAAGGATAAAGAGAAGTAGCTTTAATACTGTTATTCTTTCTAAGGTCCAAAGGAGAGAGGCAAAAATAATATGATACACAGAGATTTTTCTGTTTCTCATGCTGTTTAGTGCTTTCATTTTAAGAATCATAGTGCTCAGGTAGCCATGTGATTTGTGGAAACACCAAGTAATCAGAAAGAATGCATGTGAATGAGTTTCCTTGGCAGGGTTTCTTTGGGAGGCCAGTGGTTGTTTCCTTATGGGTCCCACCCGACTCCCATTCTTCCCCCTGCTGCTCTGTTCAGGGGCCACGTCCCTGTTAGCCTGCCTCATTCCCCCTCCGTCTGTCCTGCTCACTCCTCCTTGTACCCACACTGCCCTGCTGCCTTCCCAAGCACGTGAAAACAGCGTTGGCCAGTGCCCAAACGGCAGTAGTGCCTACTTCATGAAACTATGAACTCCTGGCGTGCCGGAGTCCCTGCCTTAGCCAGGTACCCCTGAGGGGCAGGGATGTTCCACGAGGCCAACAAGTTAGCATTTGTGAACACAGTCCTGATGCCGTTTGGAGAGCTCGTTTGCCAGAAACATCCCCACGCACTGCTCTTTCATCCAGAGATCAAGAGGCCCTTTGCTTTATGACTTTGAAAGTGTACCAGGCATGGAGGCGAGGTGCTTCCTCGGGGGTTAGTATTTAGGGTAGGGAGAGGACAGGTTGATGTCCACATAGGTGACCACCACTGACTGCGTCCATGACGACATCAACAGGAAGTCCTTCTCTCTGCAGTTTCCAGCTTTTAACACCATTTGGACACAGCCTGTCCAGGGCCCACTCTGGAGTGTAGCCAAGGACCCTCAATCCAGTCCTGGAGGGTTAAGTAGATTCATGGAACTTTTTTTTCTTCACTGTGCATGGGGTCTTTCTTACCAGGTCCAAACCTGAGACCTCTGAGTTTACTCCAGGCAGGTTTCTGTTTCTGGTTACTCTAACCAGGAGCTGGAATAATAGCAGCAAAACACTGGACCCTTCTGGGAACCAGCGTAGGGTGTTACGTGGGCTTCCAAGGGGCAGATTCATTCACAAATGAGGGAGTTGCTTGGAAAAAACCAGTATGTGTGTGTGTGTGTGTGTGTGTGTGTGTGTGTGTGTGTGTGAGAGAGAGAGAGAGAGAGAGAGAGAGAGAGCGCTTTTAGGTCAAATGCTTAACAGGATGTCAGAATGTCTCAGCATTCCACTAAGGATGTTGCTCTACAAGAGAGACATGGGCCGTTTCTTGAGTTTGCTCAGAGTGGGAATCAGCTTTTTAACTTTTACTGTTGGAACGAGTTTTGGAGTCTGAGGTGTTCTCCCCCCATACCCTCTGCTCCTGAGCCCAAGGAGGGCCATTTCTAAGGGTGACAATCGATGTATGCTATGATTCTTGATGGTTATTGTTATTTGGATCCTAAATTTAGGGCCACTCCTTGAAGTCCCTTCCAGCCTAATACTCCAAGTAACACTGGACCTTGCCCATGTCCCCTGGCGCGTCTGTATGTGGCACTTTTGCCAAAAGAATCAATGACGGTGCCAGCTGTGGTTGTAGTTCACTGGCTCTCCACCCGGTCTGGTGCTGCTCCATCCGGTTTCTCCCTGTGGGAAGAGGCAGGTGACAGGCAGCTCACCACACTCATCTGTGTCCTTCCTGCCTCACTGATCAGGTTGGACAGGGAGGCAGCCCACTCCCCAGAGTCCAGAGCAGCCCAGGTTTGGGGTCTGGCAGAGACTGTGTGTAGTTTACAAGCCTGTCCCTTTTCTACCCCTCCTTCCTTCTAGAAGGTGCTGGATGAGTGCCAGAACCAGCGGGCCTGCCACCTTCTGGTCAATAGCCGTGTCTTTGGACCTGACCTTTGTCCAGGAAGCAGTAAATATCTCCTGGTCTCCTTTAAATGCCAACCTAGTAAGTAACTTCTGGGGGGGGACAGTGTGGTATCTGGGGTTGGTTCCTGGCTTCGTGGACACTCCTGCTGAAAATTACTTGCCTGGGGCATCTGTCCAACTTTGAAACTTTTGTCAATAGGAACAGGTTGAGCTGCAGGGGAAGCATGTGTGTCCTCTATGAATTTAAACCAAATCATTTCCCAAATTATGAAACTCAGTTGTACTGAGGCTTAGAATAATCGGGGTGCTGAGGAACTTCAGGTGCTTTCCTTCAAAATCAGGAGCTAATTCTGCTCTTGGAAGACAATCTGTCTTGTTGGGAGGTTTGATTTTCCTCAAGGGCAGACTTCATGGGTGTCACCAGAGCCCATGGCCTCAGGTGCTCGGGACCTTTCAGGACAGCAGGAACTCTATTACCCATGTCTAAGGAGGTGAGAGGACAAGCCTGGAGCAGGCCCTTTTATTCTGATTCCTGGGCTTCTCTCCATTGCCTTTTGCCATTTCTACTGACTGCATACTGGTTTTGTGAACCAGAAGTGATCACTGTTTGATGAGAGAATCAGCTGCCCGGTGCGAAGGATGTGCCTGAGAGAAACCCCAGGGAATTGCATCAGGGGACATTGATGAATCATTTATTGAAGGCAAATGACAATGACTTAACCGAAACACAAGGCGTAGTAATTTTTACAGTTCTCCCCGCCACCCAACAGAGCCATTCTTACTTTTGTGCTCAGTGGTTCAAGGACTCTCAAGAACTCTCGGTGTTCCCTGAGAGTGGGGACCTAGCGGCTAGAGGTGGGGGACAGTGGGTACACCTGAGAGATCCCCGATGCTCTCAGGAAATATCCAGGCTTCTCTCGCACCCACATCCCTTGGACTTACCCTTGAAGCTGTACCTCGTACTGCACGTGCAAACGCACTCATACATTCACTCACATACTCACACCACTACGTGGCTGTACGCATAGTCACTTGCTCTCCATACACCCAACAGACATACACACTTTGCCATACACACGTACACCATAGTACACACATTCATACGATCACACATCCACCCGCCACGCTCCTGCTCACATGCACATACATACACACTACCATATATACCACCCACACTCACCTGCACACACAATCACAAGTGTCCACAAATAAATAGGCCACAGTAGAGCACTGCAGAGGTGTCTGGGAGCCAGGAGGTGCCCCACTGACTCCAGGCTCGTTGATAGGTCCAGGAAAGTCATTTCCAGATCTCTGCACTCTTTGTGGCCCTCTTGAAGCTGCATCTCAAAAAAAAGATGCCCTTGACTATGCCTTTGATTTCCAGGAGCTTTGCATTCATTTTTCCCTTCTATCTTCCACGTCCCTCCTTCATGGTAAAAAAGAATATCCCTCTCAAAAACTACCCTTGTTCAAATGTCAACAGCTGGTGAATCCAGGTGGTAAGGATATAACTGCTTATCATGACATTCTTTCACATTTCCTAGGCATTTAAAAATCTTTTATGGTAAAATGTTGGAAAAAACCCAGCCTCTAAGGGACACTGGGAGATCCATGTAATATTGGCAAATCCTTTGTGTATTATTCCATTTTCTGTAACTATAATGAAATACCAGAGGCTAGGTAAGTTATAAAGAAAAGAGATTTATTCTGGCTCATGGTTCTGGTCCAAGGTCAAGGCCCTGTACCTGGTGATGGCCTTCTTTCTGAATCCCAAGGTGACTCAGGGCATCACATGGTAAGAAGTAGGGAATGTGTGTGTGTGTGTGTGTGTGTGTGTGTGTACATGTATGTGCATGTGTCTGCTTCCACTGGTCTCTCTCCTTGTCCTTATAAAGACACCCATATTCAATCATAGAAGTTCTACCTGGTGACTTTAATCCTAGTCACCTCCAAAGGCCCCATGTCTCAACACTATAGTTGGGCTAAGTTTCTACCATCTTAATACTTTGCAATGTGGATTAAAGTCCAACATGACTCTCCAGCAGGTGGAAGTGAGACTGTGTGCATCCCGTGTCCTTTAGCTGCAGCCCTCCTACTTCCTGGGCTCCTCTCTATCTCCCCAGTTCTGCCTCTGTGTGACCTTCTGATTGCCCACCGTTATGCATTGTCTGTTCCAGCTCTGTGAAACCCTCCTTAGGGGCAACATGGACACCAGAGAAACTGGCAAGTGCTACAAATCAGGGTGGGTGGGTTGGTGACTTCACTAGAAACTTTTTCCCTAGTGTGATTCATGTTCCTTCCACTCCTCAAAACTTAACCTTTCAGAGACTGTTGGTTCCATCAGATGAAGATTTATGCAGCTTTAGGTTCACATTCTTTTCTGGGGTTAATCAATGTGTGACCCAGACAGTGTGAGGACATTTTCTGAGGCTTCAGGACTCCGTTGTAAATGGAGATGATGCCTCTTCCCCACGGGCCTGTTGCAAAGACTGTAAATATGCAGTGTCATAGGGAACATGCTTAGCACAAGACTCTGTGGACTTGAGCTCAGTCTTTGGTAGCTATATCCCAATAAGCAGATTAAGACAATATTGCCAAAGCTGTCATGACTGAAAGGCAGTAATGCAGAAATGGGGAGTGGCGTGGTCTGTCCTGAGTGTGGGGCAGGGTGCACTACCTGTGCAGAATTTAAAGCACAGTACTAGGGACCAATCAGTGTCTGTCTGCATTTTACCACTGCCATGCACTAGCCCCCGCAAGCAAGGCCAGTAATAAAATATCCTTATCCAGACGGATCAGTCCCCTTGCCCACATTTGAAAGGTCATTGCTGCTATGCAAATATGTACAAACGGCCCCAATTTAAGATGGTGGCATTTAGATTTTTGAACTTTATGGTGGTGTAAAAATGATAGTACATTCAATAGAAACCATTCTTTGTATTTTTAGTTTTTGGTTTATTTATTTGTATTTTGGTGCCAGAGGTTGAACACAGTGATTTTGGAGTTTTGATCTTTCCTTGAACTAGCCATATGCAGTAGGATCTTCTGCAGTTCTAGGTGGTGGCAGTGAGTCACAGGTCCTGGTCCGTCTTTCGATCATGTGAGCAATGGATACTCTGCTGGGCACTGTGCTAAGCTATGAGGTTCTTTAGGTTGGGGAGTGGGGGTGTTAAAAGCATTAAATTCTGATTTTCTAAAAAAGACAAAAACCTGTTTCTGTTAAAAAAAAAAAGAAAGAAAGAAAGAAAGAAAAAAGACTTACAAACCGGGCACAGTCATGCATGCCTATCTCCCTGCACTCAGAGGCCGAGGCAGGAAGATGTCACATTTGAATTAAACTTGGACAATTTAGTAAGACCCTATCTCAAAATAAAAACCACAAAAAGGGCTGTAGCTCAATGGTAAAGAGAGTGCCATTGAGTTCAGTGCTCTAGTTCTGAAGAAAAACCAAAACCAAAATCAAAGAAGGCTTATAATATTTTCAAATTGTGATGAATTTATGGGGACATAACCCCGTCACATGTCAGGGAGCCTCTGGGTGTGTATTATTATTGGTGAACTGAGTTTGCAGGTACAGTGCTGTAACTGGTAATTACATTGCTCCTGTCCTCCAAGCAGTATCGTGGCTCTGTCTCTTCAAGCTCCTGTTGGTGACCCAGGTCTGGAAGGCTGCCTCTATTCCAAGACCAAACAAGAACTCTGAACCCAGCTCCACAACAAAGTCTAGTCCTCTAAGTAGAGTAGCAATCATGTTAGTAGTCCCATTGTCTTCTAGAGCCCAGAAATGTCACTTTTAGGTGACAGTGAGTTCATCCCCAGGGAACCAAGTGACTCTACATCACACAGCAGAAACTCCAAGGAGGTAATGTGACACGCAGGGGCTCCCCCCACTCCAGAAGATGATGTGCCTGTAATCTGGGAACAGAATCTCTGGAGGCCTTACCCTGGGTGTCGTGTTACATGGGGTGAGTTTTGCTGGCATTGAGGCTACTTTCATCCAGTGCACTTTAATGAATCAAGGACAGGTAGCTACTAAGTACATTTCATCGTGTGCTTAAAGAGAAAATACTCTTGTAATTAAAAAAAAAAAACTCTAAGTTTAAAAAAAAGACTAATCCCATTAAAAACTTTCCAGTTTGCCGAGCTAAAGCTTGGATTTCCCCCACCTTCTCCTGCCCTTTCACTGGACAGACTGTCGCTGGCTGGGAAAAGGCTTTAGCTCCATGGAATGAATTCCTTGCCCTCCTGTCTATGGCAAGTGCCAACATTTACGCTGGGCCTTTAAAGCTGGCAAAGTGTTGGTGTTGGTGAGAGTTACAGATCTCCTACACTGAGCTGGAAACTCCTGCCAATGTGGAGGACTGTCTCACCCTAATGACTAACCCAGTCAGATGCAGTGCTCTTTTTATTTAGAAAAAGAAAATAAAACTTTCTTTGGCTCCCAGTGACACCAAGGTTCCAGTGAGCAGGCAGAGGGCCCGCTAAACATTTCCTTAACCACTGGTTTAACTTCCCTCTTCACGGTGGTTTTCCTGTGTGTTAAATGGCTAGAAGGGGTGAGGATTTTGTGAACATCTGTAATCCAGTTTCTGCTCTGAGCCTTTGTTAATCTCAGATGTCCCCATTTCATGTCCAGTAGTTCCCACCCTTATCCCCCAGAGATATGTCCCAGGAGCCCCATGGGCTCTCTGTATATCGTGGTTTTTCTATGCATGCATACCTGTGATAAAGCTTAATTTATGGATTACGCACAGGAAGGGATTAACAAAGATGGATAATTAAATAAAGTAACTATAACATACTGTCGCAAAACTGCCAACATCAGTACTCTAAAGCTCTGGGGCCATTTTTAAGAAAAATAAGGGTAATCCAAAGACAAACACTGCAATATTGAGACAATTGATCAAATAACCAAGACAGCTCCTAAATGATGAATGACGAGGATCATATATGCTATGGATATACTGGAAAAAGGGACAGTTTGTATCCTGGGTGGGATAGAACCAGACAGCAGAAATTTCAATACACAACTTAGTAGACTGCACAGTGTAAAGTTTATAAATTGTTTATTTCTGAAATTTTCCATTTAAAATTTTGGACTATGGTCGACCGCAGGTAGCTAAAACCACAGAAAGTAAAACCATGGCTAAGGGGAGGGTGACAGGTTTCAGAACAGTGCTGAGTGTTAGCCACACTAGAGCCACTGGTCAAGTCGAGAGTCTGAAATTTTCCTTCAGATAGCCCAAAAGTTTGGTCTCTGATGTTTTTCTGGTTTTGGTAGAGTTGTGGGAATTTTTGAGTTATGGAAATGTAGAGGTCTGTGTTTGGGAATTATTTTCTTTCATATTTTAAGTTTAAGCTTAAGCATCATTGATTCTGGGCGACAAAGATCCACTCAGCTACTATAACCCTAATATGTATTGCAAGTAAATGATCATAATACCCTTGATGTTTTGTTTTGCTATTGTTTTGCAAAATTTACAGTAAGTGATGGACCGGGAGATGTTTTTCTCCTCCTTTTTTTGTTTTGCAGCCCAGGGGACTGAACCAGGATTTTGCATGTGTTAGATAAGCACTCTGCCATTGAATTGTATCCCTGGCCCCCATGAGATTTTCTAACACAGAATGATAAAAGTTAACATTTAGAATATAAGATTCACTCCTTCAAACGATTGCTGAAAGTCAACGTACAATATGCAAAGGATATAAAGAAGTAGCTTCCAGAAGGGCTTTGGTATATTAGATTCATTAATTCAACTAAAGCTCTTAGAACAGAGCCTAGTGGAGAGAACCTGCTCAGTGAGTATTATTACTCATTCTATAAGGGGAAGGGGTAAAAGAATAAAAAATAATTAACATATGTTGTATGCATACACCAATTTCTCCAAATAAGCATCACTATTCTATATTGCTAACATACCCTGGTAAAAATATCTTAATTGATGTATAATTTATATGATATAAAATTCTCCCATTTTAACTGTGCAGTTTGATGATCTTTGGTAAATTTCCTGAGTTGTATACTTATGACTACAATGCAGCTCTAGAACATTCCTGTCACCTCAAAATGTTTCTTGTCTATTTCCTGCCCCCTCAATGGCATCCCCAGTCTCAGGAAACCACTGATCTACATTCTCCCTGTTAAAGCCTTACCTTTTCTGGATATTTTGTATATGGTCACATGTTTCATAAAGGCATTTCACTCAATGACAGGCCACTGTCATATAGCAATGGTTCTAAAATTATAATGGAGATAAAAATTTCCCATCATCTAGTATTTTTACTGTGTCTTTTTTGTGTTTAGATGTATTTAGGTATACAGATACTATCCATTGTGTTATAATTGCCTGTGGAATCATAATATATAGAGTTCATTGTGTCTGGAATATTAGTAATTGATACTTTGAAAATAAAATATTCATTAAAATTTGTATTAATTGAGTGATTTTGGGTGCACCCTAAAACATCAGTAGTCCATGGTTTTTTTTTTTTTTTGGAGTCTGTTTATGATATCACTGCATGATACTGCAAAAAATATTTTATTCTAGTAAACAGATTGAACAGACAAAATTTTCCCCTATATTTTTTGTGAACAAATCACACTCGATTCCAATGATCCCAACTTGGAATGCCCCTAGTGACAGTTACTCCTAGGTTACTAGGTTTAGGGCAGACTTCACAGACAAAGTATATCAGAAAATGCACCCTCCCCAAGTATATTTCAGTTTGTCAGTTACCCAGGTAATAGTTCTAGCTCCAGCTCCGTTTGCTCTTGTCTCTTAGAAATGGATGGTCACTGTGATGCACATTGTATAAACCAATCCCCAATTCACAAGCCATTCTGCCTCTGCACTTCACCAGAAATTAGGGCCTGATATTTTAGGAATGATCCTGATCAGTACCTGTCAGTGTAAATAAATCTGCTTCCAAGTCCCGGGTGTTGTTTTCATGTTTCTGCTTGGAGTTGTGGTAGCACCTTGTTTTTGTCCATTTCCTGTCCTCCCATCATTTGCTTTTGTGTTATCTCTCATTTTGTTTTGTTTTTCAGAGCTGGGGATGGAACCTAGGATCTCATACATTTGGCAAGAGCTCTACCACTGGGCTTTCTCTCCAACCCCTTCTTAAAATTTTTTCATTTTGAGTCAGAAGCTCATTTAGTTGCCCAAGGTAGACTCCTTTCTCTCTTTTTAAACACACACACACATGCACATGCACACACACACACACACACATGCAAATGCACATACATGCACTCACACTTGCAGGAAGGCTGATTGTAGAATTGGTGCTAAAGTTTACTTAGGTGCTTCTATCAAGTTTTCACCCGTTAGAGTCCCCAGCCAACATCTGAGAGAGGCATCCTTCAGTTAAGGAATCTGGGGCCCTAAGTGAGTGGAGAGAAACTCCCTGCATGGCCAGGTCCTTCCTGGGACCTAAATTGCTCTGTTCCTATCACTGGCCTTTCTCTCCCTTTTGCACCTTAATGTGATTCCAGGGGTCCTGATGCTGTCTGCAGGTTACCCCTCACCCCGTTGCTTTGCTTATAGGTAGGGCCATCTACCTGTCCCCTTCTTTGAGTGCAACAGCTTGAATTAGCAGCTGTTGCACTCAAAGGGCAATTCATTAATTCAACTAAAGCTCTTAGAACAGAGCTTAGTGGAGAGAACCTGCTCAGTGAGTATTATTACTCAGGATTGGGCTGTCCTGACTGATTTCTTCTTAGGGAAACTGATGGTGCCGCTGATTTTTATTTCTGCTTCAGATGAATTAAAAAACAAAACTGTGTGTGAGGACCAGGAGCTGAAACTGCACTGCCACGAGTCCAAGTTTCTTAACATCTACTCTGCAACCTATGGCAGAAGGATGCAGGAGAGGAATGTGTGTTCTTCAGAAGCAGAGAGGCTGCCTCCCTTTGGTATGTGTGCTTACGTGGGCATAATTGGGCTAAGGAGATTAGGACCTGGATCTCCATGGAAGGAAACTGTTTTGTGACCAGTATCCAGTGTTATGGCTTGGGTTTGGATGTCCCCGCAGAGCTTCATGCAGTCACGAAGGGGCAGACCTTTCAAAGGTGGCTGAATCTAGTGTTTGTGATTGAATTGTTATCTAGTGCTGGGATTGGAGATATGAGTGCTGCACCTGGTATATAATAGAAGGGAGAGAAGAAGGCATGCTCTTCCCTTTTGCTCTCTTTTTGCTCTTGTTACTTCTGGTATCTGCCACAGCCACCGTGTTGCTCCTCTGCCATGCCGCCCTGGCTTGGAGTCAGCTGAATATGAACTGAAACCTCCACAAACTCTGAGCTAAATAAGCCTTTCCTTCTTTCATTTTGGATTTTGGGTATTTTGTCTCAGCAATGAAAGAAAAGTAACCAAGGCAGTCAGATTGGAGAGAAAGCTGAGGGCAGAGAGCTACTGACCTACCATGAGCAGATAGATGTCTTTCTGCTACAAGTTCTGGAATCTGTCAACTGTTCTGTCATTCCACATCAAGCAGTTACTGAACTCCTGCCGTGTATGTAGCCCTGTTTTACACAGTGAAGAGCCACCAATGACCAGAAAATTTGGCAGAGTATTGACCTGAGCTTCCAGCAGCTGAGGAAGAGACCATGAGAAACAGATGAGGAAAAAACTAACACATGTACTCCTCCATGCCTGTGGGTTCTACTTGCAATCAACCAATCACAGATTAGAGATAATTGGAAAAATCTGCATATAACGAACATATGCAGACATTTTTCCTTATCAGTATTCTGTAAATAATATAACAAGTACTTACATAGTTTTTATATTGTACTAGGTATTATGAAGAGTTAAAGTACAGGTGAGGATGTGCATAGGTTAGATGCAAATATAATAGCATCTTGTATAAAGGACTTGAGTATTCTGGTACCTGCAGGGCATTCTGGAACTCAACGTCTGCTGAAGGTTGAGTATATGTCATGATTCAGGTACAGATACATCTGAGAAGAAAAGCTCACCAAGGAAGGGAGTGGAGAAGGCTGTGTTGCAGAGAGGAGCAGTTTTATGGAGTGAGGAACATGCTGAGCTTGGATGAAGCAGGTGTGAGCCTGCAGGTACCTGGGAATCAGCATTCTAGCAGAGTGAAAGGCCAGTTCAAGGTCTTGAGGCTTGTTATGGTTTGTGTCTAGTTTTCTCTCCAAAGCCTCATGCAGCCACAGATGTGGCTGAATCTAGAGTTCGTGATTGATTCATTATCTAGTGCTGGGATTCTGAGTGTGAATGCTGTGCCCAACTCTAGGGTGGATAGCCTACATATAGTATAAGGGACATACAGAGTCTTCTCTAGTGCTCCTTCCTTTTGCCCCTTTGCTCTTATTTCTTTTGGTATCTACCACCACCATGAACTATTGTTCCTCTGCCACACCACCTGCCTTGGAGCCAGCTGATTATGGATTGAAATCTCCACAAACTGTGAGCTAAATAAACCTTTCTTCCCTAATTGTAGGCATCAGGTATTTTGTCTCAACAATGAGAGAAAAGTAAGCAAGACAGAAGTAGGGTAGTTGCTGCAACTCTATCTGATCATGTGGTTTAAAAATCTTTGGGAATGACTTGTGGAAAAGTTTGGAGATGCAGGCTGAAAGAGCAGAGCTAGAATGCCGTAGCCTGTTCTGTATGGGAGATTCTGGTCAGAGCTCAGAAGACAAGAAGGCTGATAGAAATCATTCTGGTAAAGACGAGGTTCAGGAGATTTCTGCTGAGAAGAAGGACTACACTGGTTGTTGGACTCCACACAATGTGTATTATGGCTTGGCAGAAAGATTGTCAGCATTTTGCTCATGTTCAGAGACTTTGCCTGATACTGAGAAGAAGGATAGTGCACTAATTAATTTGACCAAAGAAACTTCAAGGCAGTTGAATGTTGAAGTGGTGGCATAGCTATTGTTCAGGGCTTTTAGCCAGGTTTATGTTAAGAATCAAGAGCATACAGCCCAGCAGGATGATTTAAAACATTGTGAGTTTAACCAGAAAGAAAGCTCCAGTAATGATGTGGATTGCAAAAATAGAACTGAAAAAACCTTGACTGCTGAGAAGGAGCAGGAGAATAGAAAAGATAGCCTGAGGGCATCATAGGAAGCAACAAGTCTTTACCCTTTGAAGCCTCAAAATGGCGAAAATGAAAGACTGCTTTGAGTAGAAAACTGCAGAGCGCCATGTTCCAGAATAATGGTTGCCTAGAGAACTTGTTCCTTAGCATTAGATTCAGAGTGCTCAGCAATTCAGGCACTTGACCCCTACAGCCAAGTGAAGGGGAAGCCTGGCTACTGCTACAGCTGGCAGCATATCTTGACATCCACATGGCACTGGTTTTAGGTGCATGCAGAATGCAAAAGTTCTGAGGTTAAAAAGGCTTCCAACAGGGCTGGGGATTTAGCTCAGTGGCATAAGCGCCTGCCTTGCAAGCAGGCAGTTGTGAGTTCGATCCCTGGTACCAATAAAAAAAAAAAAAGACAAAAAAAAAAAAAAAAGGCTTTCACCCAGATTTCAAAGAGAGGCCAGGCAGTGTGCCTCTGGGAGGGCAGTATGAGAAGCTGTAAGGGTGAAGCCAGAGGTGCAGTGGAGACCCTAAAAGTTTTTTAAAAGCCAGGAACATAGATTGTGTAATGAAAGCTGCAAGGATCAAGCAGAATGGACCTAAGAGAGAAATCCTGGGAGCTACAACCACTGGAAGTGCCATAGGGACAAATCCATACAAGCTTTGGAGCTCACAATTTACCACAGATTGCTTTGGATGTTCCACATAGCTGTACAGCACTTAATATTTGCCCTGCTGGATATTGGGCTTGCTTTGGTCCCAATCCTTTGTATCTTCCATTTGTACTTTTGGAATGGCAATGTTTGTCTTGTGCCATTGAATTTCAGAAGTGTTTAACTATTCATTTGTACAGGGGCTCACAGCTAAGTTTGCCTTAGATCTCAGAGGAGATGGAGTTTTTAGCAATGCTGATGCTGTTAGGACTTTGGAGATGGACTAAAATTCCTTTTGCATAAAGGGATGTGCATGAGTCTTTGGGGGGTCAGGGGTAGAATGTTATGGTTTGTGTCTGGATATCCCCTCAAAGCCTCATGCAGTCACAGGGGTGCTGAATCTAGTGTTTGTGATTGATTCATTGTCTAGTGCTGGATTATGTGTGTGAGTACTGCACCCACCTTAGGGTGGGTAGCCTACTTACAATATCAGGGACAGAAAGAGTCTTTTATCAGGCTCCTCCCTTTTGTCCCTTTTGTCCCTTTTGCTCTCGTTGCTTTTGCTATTTTCCCACTACCATGAACTATTGCCCTCTCCATGAGCCACCCTGCCTTGGAGCCAGTTGAGTATAGAGTGAAACCTCCAAAAACTGAGCTAAATAACCCTTTCCTCCTTAATTTTGGGTATCAGGTATTTTGTCTCAGCAGTGAGAGAAAAGTAGCTAACACAAGGACAAACTGGATAGTGTTGAGAATTTTGGTAAATAAGTCTTAGATATCTATAGTTTGAGGATAAAAGATGATGCTATAATATGAGTCTGATAGCTCCACCCATGAAACTCATCCTGTATTATTGGCCAGAAACAGAACCAATAAGATATGCATATGTATGTGCATATGGATATATATGAGATTGCAAGGAACAGGTTTTCAAGACTGCAGGAATGGCAAGTCTGAAATTTGCATGCAAGTAGCAGGTTGGAAATCCAGGATAGGGTTGTACTGAAGTCTTCAGCCCAAATTCTGCAGGGTAGCAATCTGGAAACACAGGCGTAATTTCTATGTTGAAATCTTGAGGAGAATTCCTTTTTAGGGAAATCTCAGTTTTGTTCTTAGGGCCATCAGCTGATTGCACAAGGCCTACTCACATCACGGTGGGCAATCTGCTTTACTGCAAATCTACCAACTTCATATTAGTCACATCTTAAAAAGAACTGCATGGCCACATTGGCCCTAGTGCTTGACCCACAGCTGAGAACTGTAGCCCAGTCAAACTGATGTGTGAGGTTAATCATCTCACTCCAGCCTACAGTAGTGTAAAAGTTTATGTCCTTCTGCTGTGTTACCAGAAAGAATAGACCAGGCTGTGAAACAGCCTACAGAGTTGCACATATTGGTCCACTTCTAAAATTATCTCCTTTATGAATTAAATTGTTGCAATTTATTCACAGGTTGCATTTGAAATTTTTTAAAATTTTATTTAAGGAGAAAAAGAAAAAAAGCAGAAAAAGGGTACAAGTTATATAGAATTTTAGAAAAAAATAAACAGTAGGAAGTCACTAGTTAATAGATTACGTATTGTCATCTTAGAAATATTTGTTCAAGTTACAAAATTAAAGCTTATAAAGTGGACATTCAAATAGTGAGACTGCAAACAGTTCTGTCCAATGATCCAACAAAACTCAGTAATATGGTTATCTAACTTATACACTTAAATGTATATGTAGTTATATCCTTTAGAGCACTTTCTTTTCCTTTCTTTTGTACAATGACAATTACACATTTTGGGTTTCATTACATCCACAGTTCTTATTACTTTTTTTTGAAGAGAGTAAAACCAAATGTGACATAACAGAATAGAGTCAGTCACATCAAAAGGATGGACTTATTATATAATGTAAAAACATAATACAAGGTGATCAACAATGGTTACCATGATGCCTCTTGCTATCTTAAAAAGAATTGCCTATATCATCAGTTATAATAAAATTGAACAAAACAATAAAGAACAAAACCAATAAAACCAAAACATGGGAGACATTACAGATCTTCAAAAAAAGATAATAGTCAACCAGAATGGGCGTCATAATGAATCTTATTATCTTCATAGTTGTTGCCTATACTTTCGAACTTGGTACTATCTAGCAAAACAGAATAGAGGAAAATCAGTCAAAACAAGATGGTGAGAGCAATGCAGAGTTTC